CAGTGCACGCTGGAGGTCCTGGTTTGATGGGGCCAACAGGACAACGTCATCTGCAAAAAGCAGAGATCCTGTGGCCCCCAAACCAGACTCCCTCCGGCCCCTGGCTGCGCCTAGAAATTCTGTCCATAAAAATAATGAACAGAACTGGTGACAAAGGGCAGAGATTAATCTATAACACCAATATAGATATAAAGTGTAGGTACCTCAAAATCTTACCCAAGTATAGTACTTGATTAAATGTACTTTCCACTACTGCTATCATCTTTCCATCTCTGTCTCTATGTCTCTCTTTCAGCAGTAACACAATCTCTCTTCTCTGAATTCAGCATTGTTTTATTCCACACCATCCTCAGCCCAGTCCCTCTGCTTCCTTTTTCTAACATTCTCCTTCCTCCTATCACAGCTTTCCATCTCCTTCCTCCTTCCACCCTCCTCATCTCCTGGGAGTATAGATGCTGTAATTTTCTCTGTCTAATGCTGTCAATACCTCTCAGTAACAATGACATACAGTAGCACCAGTTCCATCCCATCACTGATAAAGGCATAGCCTCCGTTAGGATCTTATTTGTCATCATGGTTACCAGTTTCTTGGTAATAGCCAATCAGATGGATCTTGTGAAATGCTGTGATAGGTTCCCCATTGTGTTTACTGACTGCACCTGAGGGCCACTTTAGCTGGGATCAGTCAATATGCCATCACACTCTGACTAGGTTAGTGCATGCCCATACACGCCCAGGACACCAAACACACTTTGGTGAAGAGTAAATTGAGAGAGACCATGCAAGCAGAATACAGTAGTAACAGCCAGCAAAATGGAGCGCCGTGCAAAACAGTTGTGTGCTGTAGTGTCTCACTGTGTAGTCAACATAATCAGCTGCTGTGCCAGAGTCAAATTCCTTGTGTGTCCAACACAACTGGCCAATAAAGCTGATTCTCAGCTCTCAGGTGCACACATTATGCTCACCATATGCAAGCACACAAGTATAACAACGGCATGGAGCTGTTCTATTTTTGATGCAATATTGATTTATTGGCGCCTTTAATGTAACATACTGTGGTAATACGACAATGATTTATTGAGAACAGTGAGTGAAGACAAAAAATAGCTCCCACTGTGCCTGTTCTATCCTGTGTCACTCATACAGATGGCCTTGCATAAGCCCTGCCTCTGTTCACTTGGAGCTGTGGTCACCATAATGAGAGCTGCACAGCCATCTGCACAGTATGGTGCATGCCATTAGTATTATAAACATGTTCGCTCACGTTTGCCCACCCTTTGACACAGCAAACCAGAAAATGAAAGGCACACAAAGTTAGGCAGGAGGAAAGGAAGGTCAGTAATTGCATAGCAAGGGGAGAAAAAAAGGCGGAAAAGGAAGTATGGCTGGTTTGTGAGCAGCCAAGAGGGATTCAAAGCACAGGGTTGTGAATTTTCTTGATGTGCTTTAAACATCAAAGCCAAACAAGTGTTTGAAAGGTGAGTTGGGGGGGGAACAAAATGAAACTCTCAAAGTGAAAAAAGGTTGCAAAAAAAGACTAAAAGTGGGAGGGGTGTTCATTCAGCAGAGTGACCAAAACTCCTCATCCTCTGCTGCTTTGATTTACTGTACAAACGATATATGCACATACATACAGTGCCAACTCATTTCAACCCCCACAGTGACTTGTCAGGGTCAAAGGTCATCCTGCTACTATTCCAGCATTCCCTCTTTACAGCTGCAATGATCAACTGTAGGTCATGAACTGAGTCTTTCAGCTGACGTGCCAAACATTTGAAACAATCCACACTTTACCCACTGCAACATCCATCGCTGCCATCGCTTCCAACATCACCAGCACCATCCCTCCCGCAACTTTCCTGCCTGTCTGTCACACTACACTCCTCTCGCCTGTCTTCATTCCTCCCTTCATCTCTTCATCCTTTCACACACTCTTGTCATGTTGTCAGTCAGAGCAAGGCTTTGCCACTCCTGGAGAAGGCTGCTCAGCACCAGTGGAGCTCAGCTAGGCTCTCTGAGTGCTTTTCTTCTGTTCGTGTGTCGTTTAGAGGTGGAGGTTAGGTTATGGAAAACATGTGAGTGGGTGGCCTGTGTGAATGGATAGTATATGGTCTTGTTTGTATTCAAGGCATCATTGTACTTTGTAAATCTCTGCATGTGTTTACACTAAATGTTCCTAGATTGTGAATCTGTGTATTTGTATGTGTTTATATGTTCATACACACGCACATATAGTGTAGATGTGTATGGGTGAATGTGCAGGGACGTGTGTGCCACTTGTCGTGATGTTGTCTTTCAGCTCCCTCTGGAGATCTCGTCACTCTTCAGTCCTGTCACTTTTAAACACCAGTCTCTGCACAGGAGCCATGAATGATATGATAAGATATGTGCACTGTATGGCATTATTAGACAGGCCGTATGCATGGAACTGGGCTACCTTTATGATATGACAGTGAACATGTCATAGCTGAATATGAAAGTGTATGCTCTGACAAATTGCAAGTGCTTGCATTACATGGGAATGTGACTGAAGATAAGCTGCAAGATGACAAGTTAAAGAAAGATATTTTGTGCCAAGAGAATGACTGTCCAGTAACTTGCAGCATGTCCTCCATTCCTGCAGGTGGTGGTACAGGCAGCCAGCAGACCATTCTCCATGAGGAGCAGTAGAAGATGCCGGCTCTGCCAGCACTGCTGCTGTCAATACACTTCCTCTTTTTCCTGCTAGTCACCATGCCACCAAGCTCCCTCAGTCAGATCCCTCTGCTTTCCTCTGTCCGTATGGGTAAGTGGCTATCCCTCCATTCCCACTTCACCTGGGTCATAAACTTCCTCAGCGCACTTTTTGTGACTTGTTTTGAGTTTGCTGTTGTGCCTCAAGCTGGTTTTGCCTCAATGGACAGGACAATAAGGGACAAGATGACAGCAAAGCACTTAAAAGCCAGTTTAGCACTTGTAATCTACTTGTTAGTGTCCCAACAGTCCTAATGGTGCAAACTTTTTTATTCAAACTTGCAATAAAAGTTTCCCGCTTTTATTTTTCTTAGTTGAACATGAAGTACAAGCTCAGATCAGTAGATAGAAGCTTCTCCCAGGAGCCTTGTTGCAGTTTCAAGCTTTTAGTTTGATCATAAAACCTCCAGGATCAGGCCAAAGAGTCTAATGTGTGCAACCAGGCCCCTTTTTGGGACCCTACTCTTAATTTTTAAAATAACTGCACAGTATTAAGAAAAGAAATGCATCATAGGAACTATTCTGACCAAAACAGCTCAAATATTCAGAGATTAGACAAAATAATATGAACATATTATAGACTAAAGAACTGCACTAACAAACCAGTACATTGCCTGCCTTTGTGGTTAATCTATTGGGTTGATTAAGTTCTTGCTGTAAATGTTCTCAGTACAAATGCTTCCATCTTTATGGGAATGCTTTGACATTTTGAGTGAAAACTAGCTCTGTTCTCAGTCCTGTCCATTATGGAGTTATAGCCAGCAGCCAGTTAGTCTAGTGTAGTGTAAAGATCAAATCAAATGTATTTATAAATTTAAAACAATGCACAGTTGACCAAAGTGCTGCACAACACAACAAATGCCATCGTAAGAATAAGAGGGATAAAAGGTTGCTGAAAAGAATCGTGGACCTCTCGCTCACCATCGTTTCTTTTGCTTAGTCACCTCTTCTTCCCCTCTCTCCGTGCTCCGTCCTTCACTCTTTCACCAATCTCTTCTTCCCTTTCTGCCTCTTTAGCTGCAATCCTTGATGACCAGTCTGTGTGTGGGCGTGGCGAGCGGCTGGCGCTGGCCCTGGCCAGGGAGAACATCAACAGTGTGATGGAGGGTCCAGCCCGAGCCCGAGTGGAGGTGGGCATATATGAGCTGCAAAAAGACTCCCAGTACGACACTACTGACACCAGTGAGTAGAGCCAGTGCATACTAAGGAAGATTCACACAGCCCACTAGAGAAGGATGGAGTCCAGCTAAATGCCACAGACCATAGTGTCTAATTCTCACAGGCACAAAGTGACCACTACAAATACCAGTAGATATTATTAGTAACATAGAATATTATTAGTGACCAGTACAGGATACATTTTTTGAGAAAAATCTCAGCTGATGACTAATGATAAAACACCACCACTTTCATCAGATTAGGAACAGCGAGATCTTGTGTTGATTAGTTTACATGTCATTGGAGACCAGTAATGGGCCATTAAGCCTCTCTCATTAAAAACTGTGGACCAGTTCCCTCCAGTGACAGCTGGCATTGTCTACTGTTCAGAGCAGGACAAAAACAAATCATCAAATATTAATACAGCAGTGCTGGTCTAAAGAAAGCAGCACCACCACAGAGGCTGAAATTTGAATTGACACACAGAGTTAAAACAGAACATTTGGAGTCTGTAAAGACAGAAGATGTGCTGCTAAACCCAGTTACTGAGGATACAGAGATTCCCTGCTCCTATTCTAATAGGTCCGTGGCCCTGCCAAAAGCTACTGGCATAATTTCTGTGTTTAAGAGGGGCCGTGTACATGTGTGCATACTTGAGTTGCAGCCATGTGTGTATAAGTCTTTGTGTGTGTGTCCTTGACCGATGGGCAGGAGACTCTGACAGGCTTGTTTCCTTGCAGCGGTTTTTTGTTCTCTGGATCAGAGAGTTCATCATCTCACATCTATGGCTGTCTGAGGCACACTTGCATGCACGCATCCACACACACAGGCATTTGCACATACTGTACATGCACACCCATCCCTTACTGCAGTCGCACATGCACATTCACACATTGGCACAGCGTGGGCATATACGCTCACACAGACAGTGACAGTGACTAAGGAGGACTAATTGGGATAAATTAAAATACCAGAAAGAGTAACGCAGTTAAGTCACCAGACTCATTTCTGCTATATCTGTGAGAGCTTTTTCAGGAGGGTAGTTCACAAAACTGTCCATATAAATAAACTCAGTGCACACCTAAAAAACAAACAAAAATACCCCCAATCATTTCAGCCAAATGTTTCTGTAAGCTTGCCCACTAACTTCAGTCTGTTATGAACACTGGTCAAGACCATGTTTCATTTTAAATGGAATGGTTTTGCAAATGAAGTGTCCTTGGGCAAGACACTGAACCCTCAAGTTGTCCCCGATGGTTAGAGCCATCGGTGTGAGTTGGCGCCACAGATGGCTGCTATGGTACCAGAAACAAATTCCTTGTGTGTAACATACTTGGCCAAATAAAGGTGGTTATTATTATTATAAATACAACTAACAGTTTTTTGGTACTTTATAATTGATATTGGTCAAATTGGTTTTATTTTATATTATGCACGCAGCATGACATTTGCATTCATTTCTCTGATTGTGTTGTTGTAGAGTACATGGCCTGGACATTAACTTGGTACATTAACATAAAAACTGGAAATAGGGCTCTGGCAGTGGTAACAAAATTGGCCTATAATCCTCTCTAAAACATTTCTCCCATGATGTGTCTCTATAAATACCCTGTAGCACAAACAGTTAAAAAGAAATTACTGTATATGTAAGTTATGTGCAGGATTATTTCTTGCGACAATGACTCAGAGTCAGAAGTAGTCCTGTATAACGCCCTGTAAAAGTTCTTACTCTGTGGTTTTCTACAGATGAAACAAACAAAATATAAGGTGTTTATTAGTGAGCTTAAGTGGGGCTTGTAGGCGGACCACTGTTACTGTCAGACAGGTTGTAGTTTCTCCCTGTTTTCAGTTTTTAACAACCGACTACACAGAAATACTTGTGCTGATATAAATAGCCACAAAGATGGTGTAAAATTATTCGTGTAGGCCTAAATACAGGATACTGTATGAATGTAATGGAGCCATTTGTTGTCTCCTGTGGCGTTTAAATGGTGAAAGCTCTGCTTTAATATTCCGAATCATAGAGACAGTGTTTACTGGAGCCGTTCCTGAGCAAAGAAACTAAGTTAATACTGGAGCCATATAATTTCAGGAATAGCTTTGTAACACACAGATTTTCTCCCACATTAATGGGCTTCTGCTAAAAGGGTAACAATATAAGCTGGCATTTAATAATTGAAGGGGTCCACCAAACTGATGCCAGAGATATAATTTAAGCAGAATGTCTTAAAAGTCTTTACAGTAATTAAATATGACTGTCTAAACAAGTGAACAATAGCAGAAGGCAACGCGCTGGCTGCCCTGCTGTAGTCCTTTGGGTATTTATCTCAAAATAAATCAGATTATAATGAGACAGATTGAGCTGCTACAACAGAATCAGCAATTAAACTGAACTCATAATGGGTCCTCTTGAGTTTTTGCTGCATTTTGCTAAATTTCCATAGTTTCCCCCGACTGCAGTTTTTACTGTGCTGCCATCAAAATGAAGCAGAGAGAAGGTGTATGTCTGCATATTCAGTGTTTATTTTGCTTCTTTGATTTCAGTGTGTCAGATTCTTCCCAAAGGCGTCGTCTCTGTGATAGGTCCCGCTTCTAGCCCCGCCTCTGGCTCTACTGTCAGTCACATATGTGGAGAAAAGGAGGTGAGTGTAGAAACAAACAGGTTTGTGCAAATCTGTGCACAACTAGAACCTCTTTCTGAGTTACTTCTTCTCCTGCCCACACAGATGTCATGATCAGCATGTCTAGACATTTGATTTTTCTTGCCTGTTGAGTTTTTTCCAAAAAATATCAATCATCCACTTCCTCTAGCTGTTTTCTTCTTTCTTAATAAGGTTTGATGTGTCTCTATTCTCTGCCAGTTTTCTTAATTGATCTCTCTTTTTACCATCTAGTTTCTCGAAGGGATCATACTTATTCAGTTTAGCTTTTTCTTGCCTTCCTTACTATTTCTCCCCTCTCCTTTCTCCTTTTTACAGATCCCTCATGTAAAAATTGGTCCGGAGGAAACTCCCCGTTTGCCGTACCTGCGCTTTGCCTCTGTCACTTTGTACCCTAGCAACGAGGACCTCAGCCTGGCCATAGGAGCCATCTTGCGCTCCTTCAGTTACCCCTCAGCCAGCCTGGTCTGTGCCAAAGCTGAGTGTGAGTACACATGCAGTCTCTTAAGCAGTAAATTACATGTGGCTACATGGCTATGTTTGTGGTTTGGTGGGCGTAAATGTATCTTGGCACTCCTGCATTTCTGTCAGATAACGCACCACTTCTCCCAGAAAACTGTTATAGTCACAAATTCTGTGGTATTCTCATGTTTATATATTTTGTTTGCATTGGAACAACACATTGGAACAACACAAAAAAAAGCAGCGAATAAAAGCCAAATCCACACACTTTTTCTAAATCAACAGAAATAGTTGTATTTGAAGCATTTGTTGTTCCTTTAATTTGAAATGAAACTCACCTGTAGCAACCAACAGGTGCCAGCAATATAGAAATCACACGTGCAACCAGTTAAAATGGAGAAAAGGTGACTCAACCTTTGTGTCGTGTGGACCACACTGAACATGGAGAAAAGAAAGAAGAGCAAAGAATTGTCTGAGGATTTGAGAACCACAATAGTGGAAAAGCATGGACAACCTCAAGGTTCCAAGTCTATTTCCAGAGATCTGGCTGCTCCATTGTCAAGAAGTTTACAGCCCATGGCGCTGAAGCTAATCTCCCTGGACGTGGACGAAAGAGAAAAATAGATGACGGATTGTTTGAATGGTAGATCAAGAACCTCTATCACCTTCCAAACAGATTCACGATGACCTGCAGGCACAGGGTGTAACAGTGTCAGCTTGCACAATCCATCGCCATCTGACTGACAAGGGACACTATGGCAGGAAATTCAGGTAGACCCACTGACACAGAAACATTAAAAAGCCAGACTGGAGTTTGCCAAAACTTACCCGAGAAAGCCACAATACTTTTGGGACAATGCCCTGCGGACGATCGAGACTAAATCGAGCATATCATTTTACCGTTTTCAGAAAATGAAACAAGGCCTCCAAAGAAAAGAACATGGTCTTTACAGTCAAACATGGTGGATGTTCACTGATGTTTTGGGGTTGCTTTGCTGCTTCAGGCTCTGGATGTCTTGACAGTGTGTATGGCATTATGAAATCTGAAGACAACCAATGAATTCTGGGGCACAGTGTAGAGCCCAGTGTCAGAAAGTTGGGTCTCCATCAGAGTTCATGGGTCTCACAGCAGGACAATGACCCAAACCAGAGTTCAAAAAGCACCAGAAATGGTTTCAGACAATGTGCTGGAGAGTTCTGAAGTGGCCAGCGATGAGTCCAGATCCCACAGAGCCCCCGTGGAGAGGTCTCAGAACAGCAGCTGGGAGAAAGAACCCTTCAAATCTGAGAGGCCTGGAGCAGTTGAGTTCTGTGTGAAATACATCAGATTTGGCTTTTTTCCCTCTGCTTTTTGTGTTGTTCCAAGGCAAACAAAGGAATAAATAAATACAAAAGAAACATGAGAATACCACAGAATTCACGATTGCAACAGTTTTCTGGGAGAAGTGGTGCGTTATCTGACAGAAATGCTGGGGTGCCAATATTTTTGGCCATGACTGTATGTGCGTTTGCAAATGCCTCTGTGGGAGTGCTGGCACATGCACACAATGTTTGGGTAAATATGACTGTTTTGCGCTGCTGGACACTCATTTTGGCAGTCTGGCCATAAAGTTCTGTCTGTTGTCAGAGTTCAGAACAGGGCTCATGCTGTGGCCTTCCTATTTATTACTCTTGCTCTTGCACTCTCTTTTCCACCTCAGAGGGTTTTTAGTCTAAACCAATTAAATAAATATTCATGTTTGAAATGCTTTCCAGTATTGAATGAACTTCAGGGACATTTGATTTAAGTTGTTAGGCACCCAGAGAGCTTGAACATCACAGGGGATTTGGGGTCTAGTCAGTAGTCCTCTTTATTTTCATTTTAAAAGAGTGCATCATTGATTTTTCATACACTCCCCCACTGAGAGTTGTAAGAATTATAGGGCTTGGTCAGATGGTGTCTCTACTATAGTATTCAAACATAGCTTTGTGCATACATTGCAGAATGCACTATGTGCTGAATGAGGTAGCAGAATCATAGGTTTGCCCTGAATAATCACCTGATTTTTGTCCTACCCTGAGAGAAACTGAGCTGGGATGAGTTGTTGTGCAACTATTGACTGCTCATATGAGCTAAGTAGAACCATAAAAGAACTGACAATTTCAAGAATGGGCAATTACATAAAAGATAAGTAGGACCATTGAAGTCTGAACACTTTGGCAGTGTGAAAAGGGTAGATTTGACAAACAAAAAAAGCTGTGACATTGTGAAAAATTGATTCAGTCATTTAGATGCTTTCATTATCTCCCCAGCAGTTAGCCAGCCTTCATGCGGTTTCCTGAAATTAAGCTGAATTCCTTTTGGACTTATCATTTCATTGAACTCAAAGAGCTTTGAAATGGCATCAGACATCTTTTTTCTAGTTTTGATCATCAGCTGAATGAGCAGTGCCTTGTCTTTCAGCAGACTGCTCCTCTCATAAAAATTAGACGCAACAGATTTAATGTCTGGGCCAAAAGATGCAGATCTTACTGGTGAAGAGAATAAGTGCTGCTTGTGTGTGTAACATATTTGGCTTGAAGGTGATCTTTACAGGGTTATCGCACTCACAGACTCTGACCCACTTGGCTGCGCTATCTATCGCCATGGAGCTGGTTGCCATGGCTGCAGAATAGGTGCTAACTGCCACTCAACACACTGGTTCCACACTCTGAATGACTGTGTGGGTGTGTGTGGCACAGTATGTGTATGTTTGATATATTTTTTGGTGTGCCTGGTTATCTTTGTTCATATGTGTGCTTGTGTTTGAGTGCTATTTTATGCTTTCAGGAGTGTGTACTCAGTGTACCGTATGTCGAAAGATGTGAGAGTGGGTATTTTGGAAACTTGTATGATTGCGTCTGTGTCCGCGGCTCTAGTGTAGCACTGCAGAGGGTGAACACAAGCAATACGTACCACCAGTCCACCTGTTTTATTCATCATGTTTACCCTGTTGAAGTGAAATAGACAACATTTCTTTATTGTCAGTGAGGCAAGTTATGTGTGAAGTCATAGACACACATGCATCCTAATCAGATAGTGTACCTAGAAACGAGTCATTTTTGCAACAGCGCGTTCATGGCACTAATCAAATTTTTCCCTCTTTAGTCTGTGCAAGTAGCAGTTAATAGATTTTCTGTTAAATAGGAGTGAGTCTGAGATTTTGGGTCATTTCCAATGTATTCTTCTCTCACTTTACCTGGGTCACAGTGCACCATCGGAGCCTAATTCGATTATGCAGTTTTCATGAGATGAATGAGGTTAAGGACGGTGAGAGAGAGAGAGAGAGAGAGACTGAGTACAAAGAGGAGGAGATGGTGGCAGCATAAGGGCAAGATGGATAAAGACAGAGAGAGTTAACCAGAACACAGGGCTAAGAGAGAGGTTAGAGCTTATGTGTGAAAGAGAGAATAAGTGAAAGAAGGAGAGTGAGCGGTAAAGTACATTGATTCCCCCTCCTTCCTCAAACTAATTAAAGTTTTGGCCTGGTTCAGTGATTACCCCACTGCTTACAGAGGCTTTCTCCTGTTTAAGGGCTCTGTGCTCTACCTCTCCTCCCTCTCCCCTCCACCCCCCCCCAGAAGCCTGCCCCACCACTTATTTACATAGCTAGGGGAGCTTTACTATAGAATTACAATTAGGAAGCAGCAGAGTAGACTTTCTAGTAAAGGCTCATTCCACAGAAGGATGTCAAGTGAGTCTTGACTGTCACTGGTTATACTCATTTTCGAGAGGAATTCACTTGAAGTGGGCGAATTGTCTCAAGTACTATTTCAGTCTTTCTGCTCCTGGAGCTATTCTTTTCTTTCTATCCATGATTTTTTATTTATTTTTTTTTACCAGAGGTTTGCAGAATCCTTGCATCTTTGTGTTTTACTATTTGGTTGTAAGGTTTTCAGTGTTTTAAACACACACTATTTTACTCACAGTGTACACACAACACTCAAAGAATTGAAAAACATTCATTAAAGGATGAGAAAACAGACACAAAGTTATCTAAAAAGCACTCAAAGAGCACATACACTGTACCTATGCCAAGGCTGCACAGTGTTCTCCTATTAATAGAAATGTTTAGAAATTTGTCACACTGATTGATCTCATAAATTCTGTAGGATACTAAAACTTGCCTGAGGTTTTTAGTGCTTTGTACAAAGATTAATTTCAGCCTCACCAGCTCTCATGTATGCTGAGTTATACTTTGTCATGTTGCTATTATTATTCAAAGCAGATTTATTTATTTATTTTTTACATTTGTTTGTATTTTACCTACCAAATATTGTTATGATTAGTTGAAATAACATTAAAAATCTGTGCATATTATGGATAGATAAAATTTAATGACAGGCAGTCTAGCAGATAGCCAAACCTTATATATGATCTTAGCTCAAAATATCAATTTACCAAAGTGTTTCTGTATTTTTGCATCCTCAGCCTGTGCAGGGCCAGGTCTAGAAAATTATGATTGTGTGGCCAGGCTAGGCTGCAAAATGTCTACTAAACCCCTAGTTCTATGAAATAATAAATCGCATATTATTACGAATCAACAGTTTATTTTGTGTAAAAATGTACCACACACTGCTTTCTTTAGCTAACTTTGGCTACACTCCTTATGTACTCCTGGCCAGGGACATCACTGCCCCCCAGTGAGGAGAATCATGCCAAGTACAACACAACAAGTCAGGGAAATAAATGCACATATCATGCTGCGTACATGATATAAAAGAAAACTATTTTGACCAATATCAATTATAAAGCACCAGAAAAATATAGCTGTATTTAAGGCAACAATTTGTCATTGCTTTTCATTTTTCCTTCATTAATACTGACAAGCATCACATTTTGACTCTGGCAGTGTGGCACCGGGGTGGTCAGTCAACCTGGGGGTGGCCAGTGCCACATGTGGCCACCCCCAGGTTGACTGACTACTTCCTAGTTCAGGTGTCAGAATAAATGCATAAATGGCCAAAACTGATGATTTCTCCCACTGCCCCTGTAGCCTTCCTTCTTCATTACAAAGACTGTCAAGTTCTGAACCATCAGAAATATAGAACTCAATACAAAACAGCCTTTGTAGAGAACATAATATGTAATAATATACTTATAAGATGTGTCCAGCTGAGGGGAACCATGAATACTGACATATTGTAGACTGCATATTAAATGATGTTTTATTTAGACAAATAACTGATCATCCTTTACAAAAATAAAACAAATATACTGCCATTTGAGAATAAATCATGATTTTCACAGGTCCTGTGAAGCTTACATTTTGGGAAATATGAGTTGTGTCTACTGATACAGTCACTGATAATTCAGTTCAGCTCTGCACTGACTCTGCCTCAGGCCTGCTGAGATTGGAAGAACTGGTGCGTCGCTTTCTCATCTCCCGGGAGACTCTGTCAGTCAGGATGCTGGATGACAACCTGGACCCTACGCCGCTGCTGAAGGAGATCCGTGATGACAAAGTGGCCACCATCATCATTGATGCCAATGCGTCTGTTTCCTATCTCATCCTTAAGAAGGTCAGCTTTCAAGCATCAGTACATTCTTCAGATCCACCCACACATGTGCAGGATTCGAAGCTGCTCTTGAATACAATATACACAGTAATACTCAAGGGGATATGTACTTCTCTCTTTTATGTATTCATTTGGGAAATCCAGGTTACAGCCATGAAGGGCATGTGGAGCTTACCATCTGTAAAAGAATAAAAGAACCTAAAGTTCCACAGGCTACACATTTGTTCTCATAACAAAATTAACTATTTTTTTACCTTCACTGCCCTCTGGAGCAACAAAGGAAGCAATATTTATGCATGTCTGCCTGCAACAATCACTTACATTTGACAAGAGACTATCTTTTGCTAGGATGAGGAGCAGATGTTACCCAGGCTTGTTCTGATTCATAGTACGGGCTGTAATGCCGATAGCCAGCGCAGTGAGTCACAGTTTGAATGTGTATGGAATGTTTTCACTGGGCACATTGGAGCGGCTGTCCGCCCTCAGCAAAATGTCCTAGTGTTAGCCTGATGATGTAAAACTGTGATTAACGTATTCTTCCTCTCTCTCTCTCCTCCCCCATATTCCCTTCTACTTCATCCTCCAACTGTCTCCTTCACTCTCTGACTCTCAATAACTCTTCTTTTGACCTCACTCTCTCCCTCCATGAATCTGTTAAAATGTTCTGTTACTCTTTCATATTCTGTATCCCACCTGCCTCTTCTTTATTTTTCCTCTCTTTCTCTGTGTCCTACAGGCGTCAGAGCTTGGAATGACATCAGCCTTTTACAAGTACATCCTGACCACCATGGTAAGAGCATACCAATTCTGTCCCTTTCCTTTTACTGTCTTCTGCTCCTCCATTTCCACTTGTTGCTCTCTCTTGCTCCTCCGCCTCCTCTTCTGTCCTTTTATGACCAAACAACGGTGCTATGGTGGAGCAAGTATAGAGAGAGGTGACAGAGAGAGAGAAAAGGCTGAGGAGATGAAGGGGAGCGATCTGGGAAACCAACATAGTGTACAAAGATGTGGAAGTGCAGGTGAATATGTTACAAAGAAGGAAAGGGGTCTGAGCTGAAGCTGAAGGCAGACATGATTCCTCCTTTTTCTTCTGCCACCTCCTCTACACTTGTAGTGTTTTTATCTGCCTCTTTGATATACTCCCCTCTCCTTCCACCATTTGGATTAATGTGTCACTGTGCTTCTGGATTTCATTGTTCCCCCCTCTCCGGCCTCTGTACATGATGTGCTCTTGTGCTTTAAATGCCATGTCTTGTGTGTATATCTCTGAAAAACTACTGAAGACATTTCCATCAACCTCTCTTTCTTCTGTATCCCTGTTCCCCCTTTTCCTAGCTGTCTCTATTCTTTTTATCTCTCCATCAGAGATTAGATGTTGTCACTCCCTCTAGCTTCTCTTTTTCTTCATCACTTTGCACAGTAGTTTTCTTCCATGTAAAGATCTGATAACACTTTCAGCATTGCCACTCACCTGAATGTTCTGTCTCTCACCCTCCCCGCTTCTCCTCCTCTTCTCTAGGACTTCCCCCTGCTGAGACTGGATGATATAGTGGATGAGCAGTCCAACATTGTGGGTTTCTCCATGTTTAACACCACTCATCCCTTCTATCTGGAGTTCATCAGGAGCCTCAATCTCTCTTGGAGGGAGGGCTGTGACCTAACGTACCCCGGACCTGCGGTCAGTCTCTTGAGCACATGAGAACTCATGCATACACATTTTGTGTTTGTATGCCATTTAACATTAAACTACTTTATTCCTCACACCAATTAATTGAGTATTTAGAAAGATTCAGCTAGTCTTTCCCTTATGTTTAATGGGTATTGATGTATCCCCACTGGATCACTTACACCTCACATCCATTCTTTCACTCCTCTTATTTTCATTGTTCTTGTTAATAATCTATTCATCTGTGTTCACGCCTCTATCCTGTGACTCCTTTTCCTCCTTCCCCTTTTTTTGCCTCTCTCCCTCCTTAATGCCTCTCGGGTTTCCTTTTCTCCCTTCCACAGCTTTCATCAGCGCTGATGTTTGATGCGGTGCACGTGGTGGTGGGGGCGGTAAGGGAATTGAACCGCAGTCAGGAAATCGGAGTGAAGCCACTCAGTTGCACTTCACCTCAGATCTGGCAACACGGGACCAGTCTCATGAACTACCTGCGTATGGTAAACACTTGATAAATGTGCATGAATGCAACATGTAGTGTGGAGTCGCCTCCTGGCGTGTATGTTCACATTGGACACATGGACAAGAGCACATCATTAGAAACATGCGCTTGATACATGACTTCAGTTTGTAATTGATTTTTATTTCATTAAACCTTCATACGTGTTGTGATATTCACCTCTATTGTAGTTAGAATGTTCACTGACAGTGTAATCATCATGCTCAATGCTTTTTTTACAATAGCAAAATACATTGATTGCAGCTAACAATTATTTTCACCCTTTATTAAACTGATACTTTTTGATTAATTTTTTTTAAATTTATTCAATAAAAGGTCAAAGCACTGGGGAAAAAATTACCATTTCTCAAAGCCTGAGGTGATAACTTCAAATTAGAGCTGCAATAATTACTTTATTAATAGAGCTGGAACAATTACTTAATTAATAATTAATTGATTAACAAAAAATGAACTGGAAGGTATTTTGGAAATCAAATAATTATTTGAGTTATTTTTCAAGCAAAATGCCAAACGTTGGCTGATTCCAGCCCCTAAAATGTTTGGCTTTGATAAACTGTGATGGATATTTTTCTCTATTTAACATTAAAATTTAAATTACCCAAATGTTTCTGTTTCACAGTGATATAAAGCAGAAAAAAAATGAAATCCTCTTGTTTTAAATGTACTGCCATATTTGGTATTTTGGTGGGGGTGGGGGGGTTGATTAATTTCCTTTTTATCTACTCACTGATAAATGACGACAGTACAGCTTCATTCTGCATCCTCCTCATTTCATGTTGCATGTAACCTCTGTCTCTTATTCTTTGTCATCTTCCATCTCTGGTCTATGTGTTTCTCCCATCGACGACCTGTTGTCAAGGCAGCCAGAGCCCCATATTTCATTGCCTCCGCCCCACTGGCACAACATCTGTCTTTGTTAGTCAACATCATGGTGTGCTCCATCTCCAGCACCGTGCCATTCATCATAGAGCTCGGTAACTGTGCCTGCACCTGGGTTTTGGAGAGGCCGAGCCAAGCGTGAGGTGCAGTCCTTAGTATTATTAGGAAACTGTTGACTATGTGCTGCTCTTTCTGAGCCTGCTGTTCAGTCCCTTACTTCTAGTTGAATCAAAACTGATGATCCCTGCCTTGTCTTAGACGTTTCCTCCATCTCTGCTATGCTTTCTTTCTCTGTCTTCTGCCCTCTTTTCTCCTTATCACCCTTGATAGTATGTTTGCCTAATCATTGGTAAATGATTGGTAGAAGAACATTTGTTTTTACATGGAAGATTGCATTTATTACTTAGCAGTTCCTCATTGTTTCTATCAACTCTGCTCACTTGTTTTCTCACCTTTTCTGCTCCTCTTTTCCCTGCCTCTCTTACTTTCTGCTCTCACACTCTCCATTTATTTGCAGGTAGAGTATGATGGTCTGACAGGGCGTGTGGAGTTCAACAGCAAGGGTCAGCGGACCAACTATACCCTCCGGATCCTAGAGAAACACAGAGGAGGCCACAAAGAGGTCAGGAGTCACCTGTTATCATGCTGCAGCCAGGTCACTTCGCCCATAGGCTTTGGGTTAGTTACAGGTCACTCATCACAGGTTCTCTTGATAATAGCCAAACAGCTGCAAACATTCGTTTTTTTCTGATGCTAGCTACAATGTGTTAGCTGTCTGCATAGTCCATCAGTTGAATTCTAAATAAATGCTACACTTGCTGTAGCTTTGAGTGTTGTGTGTCTTTGTTACAGATGTTTAGTTGCCTCAAACTTTTGTCTCTGCCACAGCTGAATGTTGATTTGATGTTTTCTGACCAGAAAAGTGGTATAACGGTTATTTATTATATATTTGCAGAAGTCTGAGTTTGTAATAGGCCTCCAGCTCTGAGAGAACATACAGTATAGCTAGATCAACAGTTAATTTAAGTTTCTGCTGTATATTTAATATTTAAATGGAGTCTTAATAGAGTTTGTTTTCATCTTTGTCTTGCATAGAACTGGACTTGTTTCCAGCCTATTTTTGAGCTGTATAAGTTTTGTTCCGATTTGGACTTGGTCTTCACTTGAACTCAGCTGGGTCAGATCTTGCCAGGTGGCATAGACTAGTTTGCTTTGGCATCATGATTCCAAAACAATGGAATATTAATATGTTCCCTTTAGCAACCCCCTGCTGTGTCTTCATATTGTTTTTATACATATTTTTTGTCACAGATCTGAGGAGTAAGTCCCAGTGTAGCACCCATTCAGGTTTGTGTTGTGAGGGCTAGGCAGTAAATCAGTACCTTCTACTACCTTTCAGTGGGTTTGTGTTGTGACATTATGATCATATCAGGTTTTATGATCTTGTTTATATGAAGGAATACAACGAAACCAAAATGAGTGTTTAAAGTGCTGAATAGCAGCTACTGTGGCTGTAAGAAGCAATTAGTAGATAGCTGTAATTAGAACAACAGCTCCCTTAGAGAAGTCATACACTGATTCACTAATGTCAGTTACACAGCAGTGTCTATCTGAAGCTTGCAAACATTAGCCAACATAAGCTATTGGACTTACTGCTGTAGAAGCAAAATCCATGAGTGTATTGAACTGAGAAAGGTGAGTTTTAAGGCTTAAGATCTTAATTTGTAGAGGAGTTGTGTAATTTCTTTTTTCTTTTGGTTTTTGTTCAACTTCTATTCCTTTTACTGGACCAGATGTTCTCTGTTAGTCTGGACATTTTTATGTGTTACTGTAGTTACAAGCCACAACAAAATTGCAGCTAGAATAGAATAAAATGCTGGCAGCTTCAGCTGCTAAGATGTTTGGGACCATTTTGGTGCATTATTTTGTCAAAGAAGACTCCTCCATTGAGTATTAGATGGAAAGGTGAGGGAAATAAAAACCTAAACACATTTCACCTGTATTTTAAAGTCAAAATTAAATGAAGTACAGTAACACGCATCACTGCATTGCAGTTATTGACTGGAGGAAGTAGAGGAAGTATGTTCTGTTCACTTTTCCTTAATATGTCTTCCCGGACTCCACTATACATCAACCATCTCCCATGTTAACACTAAATGCTACTTAAAAGTGGACTTCAATCTTTAGGGAAAGTTAGGTTGTGATAATTAACATTTTAACTTTCTTCCCACCTGTGTGCACAGCCGCACTCCCCTTGTAGACAAGCAGTGGTGGTTCACAGAGAAAGACTGCTCTTAAATGTCACGGCAGGATAAAGAGTGTCATAGAAAAACTGTGATTCTGTCTGAGGAGTCATTAGCTCTCCTCTGACCTATTGAAAGATGTACAGTAATATCTTCCAAAGAAATACCTCTGTGAGTTGTGATGCGACCCCTGCACACTAGTTATGTCATAATCACACACTTATGTGCCTAAGTGACTTTATTGTCTCAATAAAAATCAAAATATGTGAGCTACTCTTTGTGTAGTTTAAGAAGGGTGTTTGTAAAGGAAAATAGACATGGCAGAGAAGCTAGTGGCTTTTCATTGCCATCTTGTCTCAGCTCATTACTCTGCTTATAAACTTCAGGTTGTTTTGTTTATTTATTTATTTATTTTTACAGTGGTGCGTGGTACTGCAGGTACTACAGGTGCTGCTCCAATGGGAACAGTTAAATCATTGTGCATATGCAGTATGTAACAGCATAGAGGATAAAGCATCACATTTTGAACATTCAAAGGCACTCGGGTTAATGCACTCACTGAAATGCTTATTTGCCAGAGATGGTATGGAGCCTGTGACAACAGTTAAACAGTGAAATTAGAGCCTAACAGTATGTTACTTATCTCACAATAGCCGCTGGTTTTCTCTCACTTCTCTTGTCAGATCGGAATCTGGTACTCCAACAACACCCTGGTGATGAACTCAACAAGTCTGGATATTAATGTCTCAGAGACGCTGACAAACAAGACTCTCATTGTCACCACTATACTGGTAAGGTTGCACTTACCTTCTGGACCACTATGCAGGTGAGGTTAGTTGCTTTTGCTTTGCTGCGCAGGCTGTGCTTGTGCTGTGTCGCAGTATGTTTCTGTTAATACTGCTGTCATCGTAGCTGTCATAGAAACTGACAGAGCACTGAGAGAGACATGTTACTAAATTCAGACTGGCAAAATCCTAGCCCTCTGATAATGTCAAAACACTAGAAGTGGTCTCCTGCTGGTTTTCATATCTGTAATGCCATATCAAAAAATCAAACAATCTCTTGATCTTGTGATCCTGCTCCATCATCTTCAGGTTGGGTTAGATGTGTATAAACATGTGATGCAGTAATGCGCTGCACCACAGTATACTGATATAATGTCGCACTGACAATCCTTTTCATGAGAGAGCAGACATCTTCAATGGTGCAGCTCTTTAGAACATAAACTACATGGTAGCTCAAACTAGAACAAAGCCGGAGTCTCAAAGATTTTCTACTGATGAAGGTGTATACATTTGCAGTGAGCTGAGCTTTTTGTTGCCTTTTCTCAATATAACATGACCCTAGATTGTGTGGTGTTGGATTTTTGCACACAAAGTATGACATTTAACTTTAGAGGAGCTGTAGGTGGATTTTGTTAACATCTGATAGAGCCAGAATGGCTGCTTCATTTTGTGCTTAGTCTTTGTGCTAAGCTAAGCTAATCATCTTCTGGTTATAGCTTTATTATTAACAAATACAGGCAAGTAACAAGTTAGTGGAAAAACCTGAGTAAACAGTAACAAATGCTGGCTTTTCCACTTAGAGGGAAGGATCACTGCAAATCAATACAAAGTTGTTCTGTGCGATCACTATGATAAAGGATGTCCTCGGTGCATGCCCTATGTTCAGGAAAACCCGTATGTGATGCGTAAAGACAACTACCAGGACTTCCAGGGCAATGACCAGTATGAGGGCTTCTGTGTCGACATGCTGAGGGAGCTGGCAGACATGTTGAAATTCTCCTTCAAGATCAAGCTGGTGGATGATGGGTTGTATGGGGCTCCAGAGCCCAATGGCTCTTGGACTGGCATGGTTGGAGAGCTAATCAACAGGGTGAGTACTCTCCCCCTCACTTCCTCTCCCTGTCACACACACAGACACATGCTCAAACGTCCTAAATAATGTCTCTACAAATATAAACTTATACTTAACACACACAGTCACACTCTAGCCCCAAACCACAACTCTGCTGTAGCATCCCATGTCTCAAATTGCCCTCAGAGGGGAGCAAGTCTCTTATCTAGGACAAAAGCTGACTTGATAATTCCCCAAAAGAGAGTTGTAGCCTTTCCTAAAATTGTCTGCACTATCTTCTCTCACAATAACTCGCCCCTGTCTTAGCTTGTTCCTCCTCTTTTTCCCCCTGTCCAGGTCTAGCATGCCTCACAGTCACTCTGGCTGAAGCTGGCTAATGAGAGCCCCTCTTTGTTTAATTACCATGAAGTATACTTCAATTTTACCAGACTGTGGTCCCTATGTGGCCCCACACTGGTGCTCCCCGAGCTCTCCACACTCCCTACCCTCCCCACTGCTTGATCACTGAGTTCTAATTAGCAGCTCATGTTCATCAATTAGCTTTTAATGGAAAAGATGGAGGGCAGGCAGTGCAACCAGAGACCTGCAAGGTTTGAAGCAGTTGGAAAGACCAGCCACCCAGTGCTTACTTGCAATTAGCCCCTTTTGGTTATAAATTGTGTGTGTGTGTGTGTGTTGTGTAGCAGAGGGAAAGGGGCAAAATGTATGACTGTATCAAAATGTGTTTTCAAGTGGATAGACAAATTTTGTATTGTTTATTTGAGAAATGCACATTGTATCCAAACAGAGCACTTGTATACCCAGAGCAGCATCAAGTGTCTTTCTACCTTTGCACAGTTTCCTGAACAGTTGCTGTTTATCTCTCTGACCCTCCTCCACTACCTCTTGTCTTTGTCTCACGCTTGCTGCTGTCTCTATCCATGCACATACCTATGTGTCAATTCTACAGAAAGCGGACCTGGCTGTGGCAGGGTTCACCATCACATCGGAGAGAGAGAAAGTTATCGACTTCTCTAAACCGTTCATGACCCTGGGCATCAGCATCTTGTACAGAGTTCAACTGGTGAGGGTGCTGTCTAGAGCATGTAGGGCTCCCGCTGGGTGACGATCACGTCAGATCTTGTATTGGATTTCATTTCGTTTGTTTGCACTGCTTTAAAGCCAACAGCGCCCTGTCAAAGACAATGGGCTGGTCTTCTTGGATGAAGCATAAGGAATCAGACTGCCTAATAGTTGAGCTCATCTTTTGATGCTGAGGATTGCATGCTGTGGCCACATTGACATTTATAGGTGTCATTTAAATTGCTCCATAAGTTAGGGCTGTGTATCTGTATTTACATTTCCAGTGAGGTTTTGGGACTAAGCCAGGTATGCTTCAGCAGTATGCATTGCGAAACTAGCATTTATGGATTGTAGCATTAGCATATCAAAGCACTGCAGACTTGCTATCGGAGTGCAGGGAAGGACACTGCCCTCCTGTGATGCAAAGGGAACATGACACCACCTTTTCTAACACTGTGTACCTTCCTGTCTGTCACTGTCTGCTTCTCCATCTCTCTTTTCTTCTTCTTCTTTTACTTTGTACCAGGGTCGGAAGCCAGGTTACTTCTCCTTCCTTGATCCCTTCTCTCCAGCTGTCTGGCTCTTCATGCTGCTGGCCTACCTGGCTGTCAGCTGTGTGCTCTTTCTGGCTGCAAGGTCAGTACATTACATCACGTGCCGTACTGCTCTGTCGCTATTCATCTTGTTGAACATAGGTCATTACAACCTCACACAAACAGTTTGACAGGGATTGTATGACTGATTGGTGGTGATATGAATGATGTAACAGAGGTATATTGCTGTACTTCAGTTTGACCCCAAGGCTGTTCCGCTATACCTGTGTTTGCCCACCAGACTGAGCCCCTATGAATGGTACAACCCTCATCCATGTCTGCGAGAGCGCAGGGACATGCTGGAGAACCAGTACACACTGGGAAACAGCCTGTGGTTTCCTGTTGGAGGCTTCATGCAGCAGGGATCAGAGATAATGCCCCGAGCGCTTTCCACCAGATGTGTTAGTGGGGTGTGGTAAGTTGTTAAATGTTTAGGTTTGTGTGCATGTGCTAGCCAGTTTTGCTTATTGTTAATTCATGTAGATGTTTGACCTTGACTTTGCAGAATGATGTATGCTAAAGCTTTTTTCAGGACCACCTGGTGAAGAGGGGATATTTCTCTGTGCCATGTCTTAAATCTGAGTTTAAGACATGTGCAAGCATGATTTGTGACATAACTGCAAGTCATTCATGATCCACTGTGAAGCCTGAGTCATTTGGAAAGCTGAAGCTTCCAGTGCACATACTGTACACTAAGATCAGACCTTTCTCTTTTATTGCTCTTCTGTCCAGCAATAAAAATAAGTGTAAATGAAAAATATTTGCATATTCATAGATTCAGGATTTTTCACTAGGGAAGAAGGAATCGATGTGCTTCTTCAAAGCATATTGATCCTTTTTTTGTGATACAAATGAAAAGGGAAACAAAGAAATGCTTAACAATAAAGATAAAACATTAATACAATAGCAATAAAACAGCGATCAAGTAAAAACACTTTAAACACAATGACAAAAGGGCTAGTACTGTAGACAGTAATAAAGTAATAGGCAGTAAATACAGGTTATGACAAGCAGTCAAAAATATATGAGAGTTTAAACAAGATTTAACTATGTTAATAGAATTCATCTGACAATATATGGTAAACTATTTCAGATTTTATGGACCAGCTTCGAAAAAAAGCTCAGCATATGTGTTTTAAAATTCACTAAATATCTAATTTTGTACTCAAAACCCTGTGTTTTTCCTCCAGGTTTCCTTTTTAAACATATCTGCTGTGTAAGATAATGGCACTTACTTTGTGTGTTTTAGGCATATACAGTAGCTGATAAAGAGTTCAAGATTCAGTGTATGGGCACCAGAATTTCATAAATTAATCAAATGCTAAGCTCTCATATTCCTGTAGCAACAGAGTGACTGTGAAAGTAATAATAATCACCAAGAGCTGAGGAGCTAAGGGGTAGAGCAAGACAGGAAGAGCAAATTACACAGAGTTGAGCAAGACAATGTGATGATGTGATATGTAGAACATGTTGTTCTTAAAGGAGGATTTCAGACATTTAGCAAATGTCATAAGAGAGTCCTATTTTCAAGTTTGCTGGTGTAGAGTATTACCAGTGAGTATTACTTGATCACGATGTGCTGTACAGTGCAGAGGTTCTAATTACTAAAAGTAAGGATGCTTTCAGAAATAATACCATAAAGTGCAGAAAATAGAACAACACACAATCAAATTTATATTTGGTAACAACATCTATTGTCCTTGGTGTACTTTCAGTTTTTCATGATACTTGGCAGGTATAGTAGGTTGTACCAAGCATCTTTGAGAACTTGCCACAGCTCTTCTGTTCAGTAGATTTAGTCTGTGTCTTCTGTTTCTTCATGTGATCTTAGACTGATTTGATGATGTTAAGAGCAGGGCTGTGTGGGAGCCAGAATGTTTGGGCTTGTTGTCATTCTGCAGAATGACTGTGGGGCCAGTCAGATGCACAGTACTGTATTATAATGCCATGTTTCTAAGTGATATATATACAGTAATTGGTAGTTTTATCCATATTACCCATCCCTACTTATCCTTTTAAATTTTTTTTCTTCCTCTGTCTACGCCTCACAGGTGGGCGTTCACCCTGATCATCATCTCCTCCTACACAGCCAATCTGGCGGCTTTCCTCACCGTCCAGAGGATGGAGGTTCCCATCGAGTCCCCAGATGACTTAGCCGACCAGACCAACATTGAATATGGCACCATCCACGGGGGCAGCACCATGACCTTCTTCATGGTATGACCTACACCAGCCGATGCTCCGATTTGTCCTTGTTTTGGGATTTCTGAAGGGTTCTAGGTGTGTGTTTGAGTGTGTGCATGTACAGTTGTGTTGTTTCTGATTGCAGCTGGATTTACTCTAGAATTAGACATTTTTCCTGAAATGCCTTTATAGCAGCCATTTTTCAGAAAGTTTTTGTGTTTGGGTGATTTAGTGCAGTGCCACTGCCTTTATTGCCATGCCTGGAGTGAATGGTTATCCTCTTATCTGCTACTATATCTTTGAGTTCCTCTGTTGTTTCTTTATGGCTCTTTGTGTTAAGTGGCCGACTGCCAGTGTTTGCTTATGAGAGCACTTCCAGCATCTGTGTCAGCATCTGTGTTTGTCATAGTGTGTGTGTTGGGTATTTGCGCGTAGGTGTGTTTGCATGTGGGAGTGTGTGTTGGTGAGTGTTTTAAAAAATATGTTTTTGTTTAGTTATGTGCATGCATGGGAACTGGCTACATGTCAGGTTGTGATTATGTGTTTTGCACTCAACTGGTGTTTGTCCATATTGAAGACACAGTGGTCTGTGTTTTCCTACATTAGCCTGTTCAGTGCTTAATCCACACACACACACACACACACACACATATAATGTGCCCTCACGCTGTTATACATAAATGCCGCCCTCACAACTTGTTTCCTTTCTTCTGACGCACAATACACAGAGATGCCAACCATAATTGTACACTTTAAACACTTAATCTTGTTTTGGACCTTGAAGTGCTCAACCACCTCCTGTGTGCTGATTTACCTCCATCTGCATGAAAGGTGATGCATCAGCTACACCATGAGCGACTAATCTGTTGCCTTGGTTCACCTTGCTGTTTTCCCTCGACTCTCTTCTCTCCTTTTTCCCCTCCATTTGCAGTTGATGTTTTACCCTGCTTGTCATTATTCATGCAGGGTTTTCTGTCCTACTTGTACTTCCTTTGCCTGTTTATCTAGAATGCATCTCTCTTTTTCTTTTTCTGTGTTCTGTCTTTCATTCTTATCGACCTTCATTTGATTTCTGCTTCAAAGACAGATGATGGAACAGTTTATAAGGACACACATTTGTATTCAGTGTTGAGTTCCTGTTGTTGTCTTCCTTTGCAGAACTCTCGTTACCAGACCTATCAGCGCATGTGGAACTACATGAACTCCAAGCAGCCCAGTGTGTTTGTAAAGAGCACAGAGGAGGGCATTGCCCGTGTGCTCAGCTCTAAGTATGCCCTTCTGATGGAGAGCACCATGAACGAGTACCACCGTGGCCTCAACTGTAATCTCACACAGATAGGAGGTCTGCTGGACACCAAAGGCTACGGCATCGGCATGCCACTAGGTAATAATACTAAAATATCATTTTTCAAACAAAACATACAGCAAAGTACTTGTAGCTGCTGATAATGAGATAACTACCAGTTAATAACTTTAACATAAAAATGTACAGTAATGAAAAATGTCAAGCATCTAGTAAAACCTGGCCATTTATTAAACAGCCAAAAGGAAATTATACCACCATAATAACTGAGATTCATTAGTTCATTACAGTAACTGAAATTATCTCAGTGCAGTAACGTTATCTCACTATTAGTTATGTTACACTGCCCAAGCAGTAATCATCACATTATTAGAGGCTGCTGGTAACATTTTATATACTATACTATATACACTATACAAGCAGGTAAAAGACTTAATCATAAAAAGTTTCAACAAGACAAATGCACAGTTTAAAACAATATATTTAATAGTGTCTAAGCAGGCCTGTGAAAAGGTTTTTGAAGAGGTGCATCAGCATCAGTTTTGCTTTTTGTAGCAACTAATATGTAGGGTCCAAGGTTGTGAATGGCCTCGAGCTTTGTTTGACAGGTTGGACAGAATGTCAGTGTCACAGACCTATAATTTAAAAGCCTGAAATCAGTTAGCTACTTACAGTAGCAACCTGTGCTAGGAAACCACAAGGGGTGGGATACTGTCACTGTTTTGTTACAGAACACTACAGCTACTGAAGGTGAAACTCATAATATACTGTACTTTAATACAGCTTTCTGTGGATAAGGACTCCAAATGATAGGATATGAAATGATACTGTATGTCTGGGCAAAAGCAACATAATGACCAACAGGACACATGTTTTCAACATGAGAACGGTTTCGGTGCAGTAGTACATTAAGATATTTCCTATGCCTGTTATCTCACAGATTCACTATAGTTAAAATGTAAAGATGACATATAATAGAGTATAAATTCACATTTTATACCTAAAAATGTGTGAAATGCTGCTCTTTAAAAAGTTTCTCTATAAGCTCAAGGTTGAATCTCTTCAGAGAAGCTGGAGTCTTGCAGTGAATCAGTCTGCAAGCTAATACATTTGAGAGTGAAGTAGGTCACCTATAGCCCCGGTGACTGGAGTAAGTCTACTGGACTGGTATACACCAGCTCTGGCAGAGAAACTGTAACTGACCTTGTCCAACAGAGGACAGGGTGTTTCAGCATCAATGAGGAGGAGTTAGCTTGGATCTAAAACTCAAAACCTCATCAATAAAAAGAATAAAAACTAATTTACTCACAGTGGGAGAGGCAGAACCACCCACATGACACCAATTATGCTAAACAGACGCATGTAGTTGTACTGATTTGTGAGAGATTAGCTCTGAAAAATGTCTTGTACGTGGTTGATCTAATTTTTTTATCTAAGGGATTAGTGCATATTTTAAGTGTAAGTTAATGAACATCCAGTTAATTGCTTTTCCATGCACGTCTGACTTGTCTAAAGCTCCTTTTTTAGCACATAAAGATGATGTCACTGAAACACAGAGATCTGTTCTTATAGAGAGAAGGAAGACAGGACCAGAAAGAAGAAGGAAAAGGAAAGAAAGTGAGAGATGACTGATTAAACCTGAGAAAGATAAAACAGAGCTAGTGAGCAGACAGAGGGGATTCTTAAGACATATATTTATTCTGAAGGTACTCTGAAAAGGTCACTTCAACCACATTACACAAAAAAAACAAAAAAACAAATCCTGTTGCTTACCTCCAGGAATGCAGACCTGAATTTAAAGGAGTGCTTTAACATTTTGGGAAATATGCTTGATCGCTTTCTTCATGACGATCAATACGTCTGAAGTTGTACTGGATTATTTCTTGGTAGGGAACTTTGACTTTCCACAAACATTCAGGAGGAAATTAGGAAAGATATGACACTATGTTGTGTGACAGTATCCCTGTAGCACTTAATAATTCACACAACACAGTTTTTATACTGATTATTTTCCTGCAGTAAGTAGGTCCAATGAAAACGTTTCACAGTGATGTTTGCTAATGATCTTCATGGCTAGATAACATTAGCATAACTGAGAAAATGTAGTTCCACTTTCTGGTGAACTGATCCTTTCAGTCTTTCCTTCCTGTTCTACTACTTACTATATTTCATAACATGCATTGTACACAGTTTGACCAGCAGCTGCACTGTTGGCTTTTCCTAAGTGTAATTTATCTCTCACTAATCCCCTCTTCCTTCTCATCATAAGATCACTCAGACACCTCCAGGCTGCATCAGCAGTTGTCTCCTTTTTCCTTGTTTTATGTTGTTTTCCCTTCTTCTCTTATATAAAACCCCTTTTTTACTGCACTTTATCCATCTTCCACCACTTGTTCTTATCCTGCTTTCCTGTCATTTGCCAGGGTCTCCCTTCAGAGACGAGATCACGCTGGCCATCCTTCAAATGCAGGAAAATAACAGGCTGGAGATACTGAAGAGAAGGTGGTGGGAGGGAAGCCAATGCCCCAAAGAAGAGGACCACCGTGCCAAGGGTCAGTTGACTGCAGCTGCCTGTCTCCTCTCCCTCCTTCTCTCTAATGCTCCCAGTAATAGTCTCCTCACTCTCTGCTACAGTCCAGTTAATGCCTAAACTAATGTCCTTGTGAAGGGTGCTTAGCATACTCCACTTTCCCAAATGTCTTCTCTTTGTCTCAGGTGGTGTGTAATGGGAATTTTATTAGTTAGTGTGTCTGTTCCTGTGCATGTTAAATGTGTGTGTTTAAAGTCTGTGCCTGTTTAAAGGACAATGAAAATGCCTCCATTGCTGTCAAGAGTAAATATCTTTCAGAAAAGGTTTTTAAAAATTCCAAACGAAATACTTCATGCCTGACGTTTCAGCATCATTGAGCTTCATCTGTACAATCTCAATTTCAGGGCCCCACAACTCTGATATTCACTCAGCCATGTTATCGTAGGCTATTTAATTATTTTTTAATTTAATTGAAAGAGCACTCCAGTAATTTACTATTGCTCTTTCTCAAAGTTGGGACACTTGTGAGAGACATATTTTAAAAAGAATGGTCAAACTGAAGCTACAGAGGCTGAGCAATTGAGAATTTATTTATTTTTGTCCAGCTCCAGAAACACTAGATCCTATACCACAATGCAGCATGATACCGAGCTACCCAGGCTCATCCCAGTGTTACTGAAGTAATGTCACTTGTAACCACTTGTAAAACCATAACTTGTTCTTTTTTACCCAATTTTTCCTACAACACTCAAAACCGTGTTTGGTGGTGGCGGGCTGATTGTGTTACCTTTGGACATAGACAGCCTAGCTGTTTCCAGTCTTTATGCTTTATGAGTTAACCAGTTGTTAGGTGTATAGGTTCGTTACTATTAAAATAAATTTAACTCTGGGAAAATAAGGACATTTTCCAAAAATGACAACCCATTCCATTAATAGTTCCTCCAGAGCCACAGAAGGCACTATACCTCTGTTTTCCCTGGCTGTGTAGTACTCCCGGCATTAAGTAAATCTACGCTGACAAAATAAATCCAGTGCTAGTGTTGTGTGTGTGTGTGTGTGTGTGTGTGTATATATACTAATGACTGTCTCGTGTGGCCCGCCCTCAGGTCTGGGCATGGAGAACATTGGCGGCATCTTCGTGGTGCTGATCTGTGGCCTCATCATTGCTGTGTTTGTGGCCATCATGGAGTTTGTGTGGTCGACGCGCCGCTCTGCAGAGACCGATGAGGTATGCCCCCATACCTGCCCTCGTCGAACCCACAGACACACCCCAGTAGGTTACCACGGCATCCCGCCAACCCTTTTGATTATGTTGTGTGTGTTTGTGTGTGAGAGTGGGTAGATTTTTTTTTTTTTCAGCTTTTGACTCCATTTGTATGTGTTTGTTTGGGTGTGCTCTAACATTTGAGGTTCGATGTTTTACCAGCATGAGTTAAGAGGAATGTTGAAGGATGCAGCACTGAGCCAAAATGACAGAACAGAATTAGATTTCACGTTGCATGTCCTGCCTCTTGTGCCCTTGTAGTGCCTGGTGTGTAACAGTATGGCAGTAAGTGTTTGTGAGTTAAAACTTGATAGAACGAAGAAGCAATATTGAAAAATGCCAATATTTGCTTGCATAAAGAAGTAGTGTGTTCTTTTCCCTGGCATTAAATGTCATGATGTATCTTCTTTTACATGCCTCACATGTACGCTGGTATTCTTCGTTTCCATTCTTGGATTACTTCTCACCCTTGTCACTGTGCGTCTCCCTCTGTCTCTCTCAAACACACACACACCTGCTGTCATTCGGCCATCAGTGTCTGTTCTCTGATAACGAGTATTGTTTCTGTTTATGTGAGCATATGACTTTTTATTTTATGATTTCACTGAGAATGTTGTCTGTCTGTTGTGGACATGTTGATGTATTTTATTCATCACATGTGCAATCTGCAGTAGTCATGCTGTTGGAATGGATAAAAAGATTTATTGATGTGTGAGGGTGTACAGAGTTTCCATATGTGTGAGTGTGCCTTTGTGTCTGTGCACCCAAGTTTGCAGACCTGCCTGTCTGTTCATAGTGCAGTGTCATAATGAAGTGCCCATAATCTAAACAAACATTTTGATGTTTTGTGTGTTTGGAATAGTAATAACTCTCTCTGCTCCTGGGATATTCTCCCACCTCCATGTCCTCTCCCATCACCTCCTCATGTCTGATTTCAAATCATCCCATCATTTATTGATCACTGTGTCTTTGCTTCTGTGACTTTTTGTTCACCATGCCTTTCTGTCTGTTCTTTCTGCCTCGTTCCTGTCTTGTTCTTTTTGTTTTGCTTTTTCTTTGAATATTCTTTTCCCTCTGCTCTCCTGTACTGCCTTACCACTGTCTTGTTCTGCTGCCTGCCTACGTTGTGTCTGTGGCACCCCTCCTCCCTTTGCCTTCTTCCCTTCTCTTTTTCTTCTTTCCCCCCCTTCTTCCTTTTTGCCTCTAGGTGTCTGTCTGTCAGGAGATGATCACAGAGTTCCGAAACACCGTCTCCTGTAAGAAGAACTCACGTATGCGCCGCCGTCGTCCACTTGGCAGTGCAGTAAACCTGCGCCACCCCACACGCATAGCTCTGGGGGCATCTCGGCCCCTGCGCTTGGTCCGGGAGATGCGCCTGAGCAACGGAAAGCTCTACAGTGGAGCTGGCCCCCTGACTGGTGGAGCAGGAGGCAAAGGGCCTTCAGATCTGGGCCCTGGACCACAGCGGATCCTAGATGATTCACTGGGAGCCAACACCACTCCTCCTCCACCAGCCCCTACCCCGGTGATGTTGCCTGCTCGCAGTTGCACTCATGTGAGGATCTGCCAAGAGTGCCGCAGGATCCAGAGCCTGAGATTAGGCAGCAGTATAGGATCAACCTCAACAAGAATACCACCTTCATCGGCACCCCTGCCCCGGCTACCCCCACCCCCTCCACCATCCTCATCCAACACAGACAGTGAGGGTGGAGGGGGGGCCAGCCCGAGACGACTGCACCACAGCCCCCCACCTCACACTTCCAGACCCATTCCACCTCCACAGAGCAGCAACACCACAAACCTACTGGGGGACAAGGACTGAGACTGGAGGCAGTGGAGCAAGGTGAGAGGCCTGCAGGGAGCCAGTGATGTGACAGACGGACATTTGCTGCTGAAAGAAACACTTCTTGTTTCCACAGGTGAAATTCATTGGAGTACAAAACAGGGTGGGGGGGGTGGGGGGACAAAAAACTGTTGAAGTTGGCCAGTTGAGATCAGCCAATAGAAAAAGAGATGACCCTTAAAAGGAGAATAAACAGGAAAAATGTAACCCTTTCTCCAGCTGAGCTTGAGGCCTACAGAGAAAAGAACTGGCTGTAAGCACAGTTAAAGATTATGTAATCAACTCAAAAAAAGGGTTCAGTTTGGACAAATCTGAGCAGAAGTGCACATGACAGGCTGACGGTTCCCATTAAATTCCCTTGTCTCTCCCTACCCCCCTCTTTCTTCACCTTTAGCTTTGAGGGCACTAGTTTTTTTCCACAGACGCTATCATGGAAACAAACTACCCCTCTGTTAAAATGAAGCCTTGTTGGACGACATACCGTAACTGTATGTGATTTTAAAACATCAACTAAAATACTTTCAGAGAATTGTTTCCTTTTTTGGTCCGCTTCTTTACCAATGTTCTAAGTGGGAATTGCACAGTTAATATGGACTATGTGTGACAATACAGTGGATTATTACATGCCAAGAAACTTTGGCTAATAGTGTAGAGGAGTTTTGTGCCCCTCCCTGTGGCCCACAGTTTGTTTTTGGATAGTTCACTGACTGGCCACTTTATTAGGTACCCCTCTACAGTTGTTTGCACTTCAATGCAACACTTCCACCTGATCATCTGTGTTTATGAAACTCAATGTTTCAGTTTTTGGTGAAATTGTCAAATGTATAAACTCAATGATATGTTTGTTATTGAGGTCATAGTTGGTATTGTACTAGATTACATTATATTCAGAGGTGTTCCTAATATTTTGACCCTCTCCTTTAGCTGGGGAGGACAAAAATATAGACGCCTCTGAATATAATGTAGTCCAGTACGACACCCCCTCTATGACCTAATGGAATTACATTGATGACAATTTCACCAAAAAAAACAAACATTCTGAGCTTCATAAACACCGATGTTAAGGCAGAAGTGTCACACTGAAGTACAAACATTTGTACAGGTGTACCTAATAAATTGGCCAGTCAATGTCTTCCAGAAGGAGGATGAAAAGACTTCAAGACAACAAAATTCAAAGAGTAGCAGAGGATAGTGCTGGCCTGTGTGTGTGTGTATATAAATAGGTCTAAATGTAACTAACAGCGGTGAGAACCGTCTACCCAGATATAGCACCTTTCTACCAATGTTAGATAATCAGACAGCCACAAAAACAAGAGAGAAAGGGAGACTGAGTGAGCAAGAGGCTTTGAAATGTGAAATTAATGTCCCTCATTATCCTGAGTAACGCTTGCCAAGCCTTTGCTTCCTTTTCACCTCTGTTCACACAGCATAGAGGAGATAGAGAGGCTGGGCGAGGCAGCACCAGAGACAGAAAGGCAAGATAGAGAAGAACAGAAAGAGATGAGATAAAACGAGGCAGAAAGGGAAAAGGACACTATTGAATTTGAATGAGAAATCTAACTAAACTACATCCATTATTACAGCCCAGCCTGATCTGGTAATTCTCTGCATCTTTTAAGGGGCTTGTTAATGTGCCAACGAGCTGTAGCTGCAGCTTCTTTCCTTCTCGCTTTTGAACAGACAGGCTTGGCCATGCACAGTAGAGGCTGCTGCCAGAGGGATAGACTCAACACAGCCTTGTCAATACTGTCTCAAGCTTTTGATCGCCTAATTACTCCCCTCGGTGGCCGGGGACTCATTCAGGAGGGAGCTAAAAACAGGAAAACATGCAGACAAATAGGTGTAGGAGAAATACATGTTTTTTCCCCTCTAGCTGGGTAGAGAGTCTTTTTTTTAATGATCAGTAACACTACAGCAGTACCGTTCTGTGAAACTCCACCCAAAACAGTCCAGACACTATAATATATTAGAAATGGTGCTTAAAGGATAAGGCCGACCATTTTTTTATATTATTCATATGATATTATTTTTATCATTATTTTCATGGGTCCTCATACAGAGATTAAAACCAACAATGAATTAACTCTACTCATGGTTAATTTCTGTCAGTTGGATTAACTTATTTATCTGTGCCACAGACCTCCACTGTTTTTCAAAAACTATTAAAAATACATTGGTGAAACACTGCTGCACTGGGTGACATGTTTTCTCTTTACAAAACATCAGATATTTGTTAAAAATATCCACAGATTTGTAGTTGACTTTTACTACTGATGCTGTAAAAAGTTATGGCCGTTCCTAGCCTTTGGGGCAACAAATATCAGGGTCTGGTGTTTTGTATTAAGAAAAAATGTCAGGCAGTGCAGCGGTGTGTTTCCCTGATGTGTTTTTAATCATTTTTGAACAACCATGGAGGCCTATGGCACAGATGAACATTCCAGGACTGACGGACTTTAACCGTGAGAAGAGGCAATTTATTGTTGGTTTTAGTCTCTGTATAGGATGTTGAAAATACTGTTAATATAGAAAACAACCAGCCTTATCCTTTAAAGGAAGACACTGGTGGATTTGCATATTTTAACCCTTCAAGATGTGTACACTTCATATCATTGCCGATCAAAGAAAACCACCCCATACAACCAGTGATTTCACAACAAGCAACTGAATACACAACTATAATATCATCTGTTGATGTGACATTGTTATCGTGTCTCACTGTTTATCAAATCTGTTGCCCAGTCAGTTCCCAAAATATTCCCTGCAGAGTGACTGACTATATACTGGACTCGGGGTAGTTCTGCAACATATTCTGAGTAATTTCAACATTTATACCAAGGCTTTTTGGTTTGGCATGTTCAAGGAAATATTGACATCCAAGATTTAAGAGTTGGCTGATGCAATGTTTCAATGCACAGTATTACCAAATTCCCTTTGTCCCGTTCACCACTTTCATATTTGCCAGCTCTTTCATGGTTTGACTGCCACACTGCAAAGCTTATGAATGTCATTTTTTCAGCAAGTGTCTCATTTCTTGAAAATCAGTGCTTCCTTGAACATATCAATGAGACGCTTTTCCAGACTCTTTGCCCCTACTTTAGGATGCTAATTTTCCCTGTTGTACTACAGCTCTTCTCTATTCTAACCTCTTGACTGCCACGAGTTTCCTCCACTGCTTTCCCCCCCACCTGTAACAGAGGAGCTTCACACTGTCATCTCAGATCCCATCAAACTGCAGAAATCGCTAGTGTGCAACAAGCACATGATCCCTCACTTGCTTCCCATTCATCCACATTCAGCAATATGCAAGGTTAACATGCAAAACCACCAGTTTAGCTATTTACAAATCCCTTGAAAATCCAGGCATTGTTGTCTATGCCAACACTGCCTTGGTGTACAAAATTATGCATTTTACAGTGGAACAGATTTGTCAACACTGTTGTGTTCCAGATAATGAATGATAACATTGTTCACTCACCTTCTGCTCTTTCTCTGAATGATTGCTGTCATCAGCAGGAGGCTTGGATCTGATGCATCTGTTTACTTCCGCTTTTGTGTCCAGAATGCTGACAAAACAAAAGGAGCTGAACCATTTCCACAAGTCATCCCAGTACACTCATTCGCAAAGAAAAACACACCCTTCCACATTATTTCTAATTCCCTTGTTTTCCAGGCTGTAAACTCAACTGTTTGTTTGTTATTTTTAAAATTGTTCCTTGTCGTTTTAGTATATAAATTCACTAAATACGATGTGTGACAGCACCACACAGGCATTTAATGGCTACAACTTTAAACCGTCAGCTGAAAGTATTTATTAGCTGCAGCAGATTATTGTGGAGTAAAAGGAGAAGGATATAAATTCTGACAAGCCAAATTACTACTATTATGGGTCTCAAAGGGAAGGGAGGGTCACAAAACAAATCAAATGGGGTGCCGAAATGGTCACTCCAAAAACAAACCTTTCTGTTCACTTTTAGTTTTTTTTCCTTTGGTATTTTTTCATATTTCTATACTAGTGCTAAATGGATCATTACAACTGATGTTATTCCTATTAAAGAGAAAGAGGTTCTATAGCGTGCTTGTGGTTGAAGGGTGGGGAATGGGAGGTGTTGGGGTGAAGGTGCAGTGATGTTCTTCAGAGAGACTGCCCTGTTGTTCAAACCTATAGACACAAACTTCTTTTGGAATAAAAATATTCAAACTGTCCCACAGTGACGTGTGGCTTTGCTTTTCAAATGTAAAGTTAACTGCATGTTAAGTGACATGATACACTGATACAATGGAGGAACAACATACTGTAGCGCCATGCCTGGGTTGAGACCATACTACTGGGTCGTCATCCCAAATTTTAATTCCTAAAGAGGAACCAGTTGCTTGTACGAATAACAAACTACCAACCAGTTTCCTACATATAGCCTCACTATAATAAAACAGCACAGAAATACTCACATGAGCAAAAATCAGCAATCAATAAAAAGGCTATGGACACTGTGGCAGAAACGGTAAAGAGCAAAGTGTAACCTAGCTATGGTATAAGCAATATAAAATGCCAAAACAAGTGCAGTTGGAAAAACTATTGCTTGCTAATTCAAAACAGGGAGTATGTGGATTTTTGAACACTGCCTAATGTAAACACACAACACTGTGTTGTTACATTGTAACTTTCATTCATCTCCCTAGAATCAGGAAATAGCACAATACTAACCCACAATAAACCGAAAGGCTGTGAACACTGCCATGGACATGAACAGATATAAACCAGCTTTGACAATTCAGCAGTCAACAGCAGAGTGAAACACTGTCCTGGCATATTTACATGTACATGTAGCTGTACAAAACACACACAAAACTGTGCTGCTACATCATTATAACTTTCAACTCATCAGAAGCTAGAAAATAATGACTGTACTCACCTATCTGAATGGCAATCTGCTATGCAAAGTTCTCCATGAGCTTTCTTGGTCAAAATTCTTGGCTTTATACAATTTTAAAATGTGGTAAAGTTCAGTCTATTGCCTCATGGTAATGGAGGAGGACCAGTGTGCTACTGTGCTGCTAGCCAGGGTGTGTATGTTGGTTTAGTTAACATTAGCTTATCTTTGCCCTGATTTGCTGACAACAATGCAAACCAAACCAAAAATGAATCCAGTTTCTTCCGTTTTGAAATGTCACTTTCCAAATCTCCCTTTTCCTTTCTTCTTTTTGTCTTTGCATGTCTGTGGCATTTTGAATGGACAAAGTATTTCTCTGAAGCTAAAGTTCCACATTAGTGAACGTTGGGAGGGTGTCTTTGATTTAGGTAACTTTGCATGCTCTGTGGGTGGTGCAAATGCAACTAAAAAGATGATTAAATCGTTATTTCATTATTTGTAATGGCAATCACCTCTGAGAGCCAGGTACACACAATTGTCCAACCACTGACACTGTTCTACCAAGACTGTCAATCATAAGAAAAATACATCACTAACAACCCCAATACCCCAATCATTAACTACAACACCAATACAAACTCTGTGTGGGTGTAAGAGTGGAGGAAAGTCTACAGGGTCATCAGGTGAACACACTTTCACTAGCCGGTGCTTTGTTGGGCTGGGCCCATGACACAGAAAAGGCTCAACAGTGTGTTCCAGGGTCCCAGAACCCCCCCCCCCCCCCTCTTCGCTCTCCCCACAACTCCCAACAAAACCCTTCATTAACATTTATTCATTTAATAATTCAGGCTGACTGTTACCAAAAA